CCCTTAAGCCTGTTTATACAATAGATCAAGAATATAAAATATGAAATTTTTCTAAAGGCATGGGATATCGGCAAGGAAAAATACTTCTCTCAATAGATGATTGTACATGTGCGCATGCTTGATGTTAGGGTCCAAGTAACCTACACGGGCACGGTTCATCCGACCGTTTGGCCCTTACAACATTTTCTTATCGAGACCCCGCTGTCACGAAGTGATTTCTTTGCAACAAAGTAGACATTCGAGGGTAATGCCCCTAGTACTCGAGTCTTATTGTAGGGAACCTTGGATACTGTTGAATTGCTCTAAGTTAGCACGAACAACGGTTGCCTCGTTAAAAACCTCACCGAAAAAACCCATTTAGGATAAAAACCGGTCTAAGGGAAAATGAGTGCAACGCGTGCTTTAAGATCCAAAACTTCGTGCCGATCCTTGTCGATAGCCTGCAAGTGTTAGTCGAAAAAATAAAAAGGATTGGAATGGGGTCGTACCTTTATTCGAATTTTGGATATTTAACGCGATCTTCCTCGGCATCAAGTCCCCGTGAATTTTGACCTCGATCATTTCTCCTCTCATTTCATGTGAAACTTCGCCCAGAACCGGTGCCCTTATGCTCTCCGTTGTATGGTTGATATCGATCTCCATTCGACCTCGGCTCTCGACCGATATCCCTTTTAATCCTATCCACGGTCTTGCTAGGATAAACGGACCCCGGAAGAGCCCCCAGTTGCTCATCTTCGATCCTAATCTTTGACTGATACCGATTATGTACGTCGGTCCAAGTGACAGCCGGGTACTCGATTAAACTTTACTTCAACCGTTGTGAAGCTATGGAGCTCCGAGTGTTAAGACCTTGAGTGAAAGCTTGAACAGCCCAATCATCGGTGACCGGAGGCAAATCCATTCTCTCCGCTTGGAACCGAGATACGAATTCCCTGAGCATCTCGTTACATTTCTGCCTTACCTTGAAAAGGTCCGACTTCCTTGTTGCAATTTCAATGGCTCCGGCGTGTGCTTTTACAAAATATTCTGCAAGCATAGCAAACGAATCAATAGAATTAGGGGGTAAGTTATGATACCATATTAAGTCACCCTTCGATAGAGTCTCCCCGAACTTCTTCAGCAGTACAGACTCGATTACGTCATCTTCCAAGTCGTTTCCCTTTAGGCGCACGTGTAAGAAGTAACATGTTCATTTGGGTCAGAGGTTCCGTTGTATTTAGGTATATCGGGCATACAGAACTTTTTTGGGATGGGCTTCAGAGCCGCACTCGGAGGGAACGACCTTTGTATGAATTTCTTGGCATCCAATCCCTTCAAGGTCGGGGGAGCTCCCGGTATTTGATCGACACGGGAGTTATAAGTTTCCACCTTTTTGTCATTGTCTTCAATCTTCTTTTTCCCGGACTCGATCCTCTTGGTGAGCTCTTCGAGCATTCTCATAATGATGGGGTCAGTCCCGAGCCATTTTCGTTTGACCTCTGTGGTGCCGGTTCAGCACGTTGAGTGTTTTCTGGTTCGGCTATACTCGGAGATTTATTCTGACTTTGAAGTTGAGGGATGGCAATCTGCTGAGCTTGCAGCATCTCGAATATAACTTGGAGGCTGACTCCCCCATCTCCTATACCTTGTGTTCCTTGGCGCCCAGATCGGGCCTCTCTGCGTACACCTCCTCCAGGGTCTGCGCCTAAATCTGCATTCAAAGCAATGTGCGAACTAACTTCAACTGGTTCCACATTTGGCACTTTCCCAGGGTTTATCGGTGGTACATCGACCCCTACATTGTTGTTTTCACCATGAAATCCAAGACCTTCGTTGTCATGAACAGGTGTGTTTTGCGAGTTTGACCTGTTTAATCCTGAGAATCAAAAAATCTTTTGATAAGAAAAAGTGCAAAAACGTGTGTTATGAGAATTAGTACTGAAGTAATCACTACTATCTTTAGCCCCACGGTGGGCGCCAAACTGTTTACCTCGAAAATACGAGTAACAATTAAATTTTATTTGTGGTTTTAAAGATATGTGATCTAGTTCAATACCAATTAATAAACAAGAAATATAAAGTATAAATGATAGAAGTAAGTGAATCAAACCAGTGTTGCTTAAGCAGTGTCGACCTCGAGCTCAGTGACCTCGAGATGAATCAAGAACAATAAAGCAAGAACAATAAAGTTTAAAGGATAATTCTGATGAACAATGAGCGAAAAGTAGAGAGTATATTCTTTGCCAATGATTAGATGATCCTTACAAATGATTGGGGTCCCCTTTGTATAATAGGGGAACCCTAAATAAGGTACATTTCTATTTACAGTAAAGAACCTTATTGGGACAACTGTCTAACCGCCTAGTACGGATTCGTACAAATCTATTCCGGGATTTATGCCACGATCTTGCGGACGTGGCAGGAATCTTGCTCATTCTGTTACAAAATCCACAACAGCATTATCTCAAGGCCAGTCACATTAGGCTTCGACGTTCATCGGACACTTAGTTCTTCGAGCCATGTACTCTGTCTTCGAGCTCGAGCCTGATCCATTGAGCTCGAACTCAATCCATTTTCAACTTGGACTCAGGGCATCCCCTCGAGCCCGAAAAATTGGACATACCTGATTTCGACCGTATACAAACCCAACACAATCAAGTGCAAATATAAACTGACCGTGTGAGTTTAGAATCCAGTAACTCATAAAAAATAGTATGTAAAAGTTATAAACTCCGGCACAAGTTCCTTCAAATTTAAGTTGCTTTAGAAGAAAATAAAATCTTGTAGCGAGAGGATAAAACGGTGAATAAAATAACTCCACAAGCCAAGAATAATAAAATAAAAAATCATATAAAGTAGGAAGTCACAAGAAAGATGCAGCAAAGACAATAAGACTCACAAGAAAAGACAGATCCTACATCTGCTACTATAAACTTACCCATTCAGATTATCCAAAACCGCGTTGTATTTCATCGCTATTAGTTTTTAAACAATTTTAATAATACATTTTAAACTAAATAAATACAACTTGCAAAGACACTAACTAAAACAAGACAAGCACATAAAAATAAATTTAGAGAAGGTGGTAAAAGTTTCCTTGATATTGGCCTACCACTGCAGCTCCCACTTTTCTTTTATTGTCTTTTGTCATTATTTTATCCTATTTCCTTTAATTGATGCAGTTCTAACTTTCTTTTCCAAATTCCTAACCTACAATTTACTCCAGAAAAGGAAATTCTCTCTTCCCAACTGCCCCATGACAAATTTTAGAAAAAAGAATCACAAATATCTTTTATATTATTTTTCCCCCAAATAATCCACTGTCATCCTCTCCTCAACTTTATCCAAATATGTTACCAAACTTCAGATTGTACAAAAATGGCGTGGCGTTTGACAAAATAAGTTTTTTGTTTGGCAAAATTATAAAAGTACTATATTTAAATAGGGGAAATGGGTTAGATTTGTTCTTCTACTTTCAAAAATAGTTCATATATAACATTCGTTATACTATGCGTACAAAAATACCCTTGCCTTATCAAACTTGTTAAAAATACCCCTATTTTTAACAGATGTGCAACGTGACAAAAATTCAACTTTTAAGATTGTATATGACATGACATTTTGGGTGAGGTGGATGCTAAAAGGCGATCCACCTCACTACCATAACCTTAGTTTACCCTTTCCCAAATTCCTTATCTTCTCCTTTCATGTGAACAGGTTGGAGCAAAGGAGCATTTCCAGAGATTATTTTTAGACCCATCACCTCGACACGATTTTGAACCTTAACTTTTGGGTCTGATGTATAAATTAAAATTACTCACTAAACATGATTATTTTCACAATTTATTTTGGAAAATTGTAAGAAAAACTCCAATTATACAAACCCATTTCCCCCAAAAACGGAATGAGACAAAAACTTTTACTAGCAAAACTTTATACGCACAAGAAACAAAATGTACTACTATACATTTATGCAATAATTTTCATTAAATGTAGTTAATTACCCTAAGAGGAGTATCAGTTTTGAAATCTATATTAGAATGACACACCTCGTAATTACTATAAGAGATAAAATCGTTGAAGACACCATTGTAGAATTGATGCCTTCTGGATTCACTTCTTAGATTACCTTCCCATCTTAAATAGTTATTTTACTTGTGTGATTTCTTTAGCCTTATGTTTCTCTGTGTGTGAAGTTTTCGCCAACTCTTTAATGGTAATTTTAGTTTTCTTTCAAATGCATCCCAAAAGCAGTAAGTAAATTTAAATTGAAGCACAAGGAATGACTTTTCAAATGATTTTAACAATGGGTGACCAACAAGCTTCAATTATCAGATTTCAAAATTTAAACTCCCAAGTTCTTCGGCTTCAAAATTGGAATTCCAATAGATTGGTTTATTATTCTAATAAATATGGAAAATAAATACACACATGTAATACACCGTGTCATTTTAAAAGCTGGATCCTTGCCATGTAGAACATTATTTAGAAATAGGGGTATTTCTAATAACTTTACTAACGATAGGGATATTTTTGTTCACAAAGTATAACGAAAACTAAATATAAACTATTTATAAAAGTAGATGGATAGATTTGACCCTTTTTCCCTGTAAATAAATAGTCACTTAACGTTTTTTCAGGTGACAAACTTCCACTTTCTTACCTTTTTTCAGGTCACAAATTTGTTGTCCTTACTTTTTTTCAAGCCACCGACTTATTGTTACCATAAGTAGTTACAGTATTAATTTTACAACATTTTTGTTATAAAAAAAAGATTTACGCTATCAATACTTAACAAAATTAAAATCTAAAAGAATAAGTGAATAACTAGAGAGCAAAAATGACTCAAACTCGAGGGTGATCCGCTATCTTTTACATACATGATCATTTTCTTTTTTCAAATTTTGTTAAACGACAGTTGACCTAATTCTCCCCACCCCTCCCTTCCCAATTTACGTATCACCCTTAATCATCCAACCCACCCCACCCCCACCCCCACCCCAAAAAAATTTCTAATAAAATCCTTCCAAAGACATACTCTCTCTCAGTCAAATTTTACTGCCATTTCTACATATCTTGACTTCACATCCGTATCTAACAAACATTTATATATATAGTGACATAGAAATAGAGACAAATAACTTGGATTTTTCCTTGAGAGGAAAAAAACAGAGAAATGGGGAATTCGTTTGGGTGCTCGGCGTCCGGCGAACGGCTGGTATCGGCGGCGAGAGACGGTGATTACGTGGAAGCAAAGATGTTGCTTGATTGCAATCCATGCCTCTCCAAATACTCTACTTTTGGTGGCCTCAATTCCCCTCTTCACTTTGCTGCCGCCAAAGGCCACAACGACGTATTTCCTTTTCCTTTTCCTTTTTTTCCTCTTTTCTTTTTCATTTTCATCTCTAATTTCTTTTTATTAATTTTTCTGAAACAATTTTCAGATTGTTGCATTGTTGCTCGGGAACGGTGCTGATGTCAATTCTCGAAATTATTGTGGTCAGGTAACGAAAAAAAAAAAGAATTGCTTACCCATTTTTTCTCTGGCTAGTTCCTGTTTAGGGTCTTTACAAGATTATTCTATGAGCTGATATTATTATTTAGATAAGGGTTAGTTAGTTAATTAAAGATCAGCTTTATGAGCTGAAATTTTCTTCAATTTTAGTGTTGGAATGCATTTTGGGGCACTTTGAGCTGAGTTTTCTTGAATTGCCAATTGAATTGATGGATTTATAAATTGAATCTGACGGTTGTGTTGTTCTTTTAAAGACGGCATTGATGCAGGCGTGTCGATATGGTCACTGGGAAGTTGTTCAAACTCTTCTTCTTTTTAGATGCAACGTGAGCTTCCCTTATTCTACTTTCCCCCGTGGGGGTTCTTTTTTCACATTGTTCTTTTGGCTTCTAAGACCTCCATGTCATTCTTCTAATAGAATTTGCCTCCTTTTGAATCTTGAATATTTGTTTCAGGTTACGAGGGCGGATTATCTAAGTGGGAGGACAGCTCTCCATTTTGCAGCAGTGAATGGACATGTTAGATGCATACGGCTCGTGGTGGCTGATTTCGTTCCTAGTGCCCCTTTTGATTCTATAAATGCTCAAGCAGATGCTGACAGGGGTGACAGTTCAAACTCAAAATGCAAGCATGAGCAGAGGTGGGTCATCTGCTTGCATCTATTTGTACTCATTTTTATTATAAGGATTCATGTTGAATTGCAACAAAGAAGACTGAGGTGGTAGTGTAAACGTATGCTCTTGTAAAAGAAAGGCCTTGTGGGTGTTTCATTTGTTAGCTTTTTATACAACAGATGGCTATCTAGGTTTTGATGAAAGACTTGGTTAAAAAATGAGCTTATATTTAACCATGCTCATGAGTTCTGACACGTTCTTTGACATTGAGGGTTTGGATTCTTCTTGGAAAATTTGGACAATTCTATCTGGTAAGCTTCATATACTTGGCTGATCGCGTTATTTGCTTCCGTTTCATTGCAGTCCTCTGTCAAAGTTTGTAAATAAAGCTGCTGATGGTGGTATTACTGCTCTTCATATGGCTGCATTGAATGGGTATTTTGATTGTGTCCAGCTCCTTCTTGATCTTAATGCAAATGTGTCAGCTGTGACATTTCACTATGGGTCATCGATGGATCTGATAGGTAAAAGCTCGCTCGAGGCATGATTAAATGTTTTTGGTTGATTCTTAATTGACATGCTTTCAAAATAAATTATTCTCTAGGAGCTGGAAGTACTCCTTTGCACTATGCTGCCTGCGGAGGAAATCTAAAATGCTGTCAGGTGATTGGCTAACTCGTCTTCCCGCTGATATCTATTTATTTTAATTGCCAGAAGAAAAAGATGTTTACTTTTGGCCCCTCCTGGTATCTGCGTTATTGTTTTCTGATGCAATTCTGATCCTTGTTAACTTTTAAATGAAAATTTACTTTGTGTTCCTACAGATCCTTATTGCAAGAGGTGCCAGTCGATTGACATTGAACTGCAATGGGTAATCTGTGCAGAACTTTCTTCTCACTTTAAACTCTCAAACCTGTAAATTTCCAGATGTCACTCAACAGATATTTGGATTCTTTCAGGTGGCTTCCTCTCGATGTTGCCAGGATGTGGGGGCGTCATTGGCTTGAACCGTTACTTGCACCAAATTCTGATTCAATAATTCCACCCTTTCCATCTTCAAGTTATTTATCGTTGCCTCTATCAAGCGTGCTTAACATCGCAAGGTAAATGGCAATTACCTTTTCTGCCATGCATAAAGCTAATTTTTGTAGTGATAAGCGAGGATAGCTTTGTAGTAAGGGCCCTCCACTTCCAAACATAATTATATAAGTAGGGTTTTGAGTTACCAAGAAGCAAATGTGGGAAACTGCCACTTTCGGCTTGTAGTTGCAGGATTAGGGGAGTGGGGTTTCCATATATTTTTTCTTTACAAAAAAAAGCCTTATTTCTGAACTCTGTCTTTGTCATCTGAAGTGGTTTTGTTGAAATATGTTTTGGTGCATCAAATTTGTTACAGATCTATGTTCAATATCTACCCTAAACTTAGTCACGCATTGTCCAAGATATACTAACTTTTTAATTATTATTAAGTTTTTCTTATTAGAGAGGAGGCAAATGCTTGTCATATGATATTTCATTTTCAGATTACCTAGTGTTTTTATGGCGTCCATGTTTGGTAGCTACTTTTTGAGAAGCAAAATAAGGGATGCCATTGGTGATAACTGAACTGTTAGATGCAAACATCAATAGAATGAATCGTTGTCAATGATGCAAAATCTGTTTGACAATGTTATATATGCTAGGATAACTAAACAAAGTGAGGTCTTTGCTGGATGAGAATATGACTATGATTGCTAAGGATTTTGTGTGTTCATTACTGCAAAAGGATACTCCATATATTGCTATTGGTTTGTAACAAGCAGTTCACAGTCACTAGACACGCATTGTCGGATTATTCAAAAGCTTTGAAATGTATATTTTTCTGTGCATTCTATCTGTGTGATGCACAGCATAAAGTGTAATGGAGCTTTTTAGCTTGTGAAGGCATAAGCCTGAAATATTATGATTGTTCCCACTCGTATTAGTTCACTTTAAGAAAACACCTTAAGAAACAATCAAAAAAAGAAGAAAAACACCTTAACCATTTGTCTTGCGGATATTCAATGGGAACTGTCTTCGGTTGTGATATCTGATCTGTTATTCATGTTGAAAAACACCTTAACCATTCTCTTTTGCCTTCCACTGATGGAATGTGTTGACCTTGAATGCTGGCTTTGCTGATTTTTATTTGACTGTTAGTAGTGGCTGTTACATAAGTGATAGAATGGGCACTTGTTTTATTCTTCTCTTTGTGATTTCTCTGATCTTTCTTTGGGAAATATTTTAGGTGTGGGGTTTTTTCCTGCCCCATTGCGCGCGCGCGCGTGTGTGTGTGTGTGTTTAAATGACTGTCAATCTAATAGGTAGTCAAAAATTAAATGATACATTAGTACTGATCATTGTGAGCACTTCTGCAGAGAGTGTGGTTTGCAGTCTTCAACAACTTCATCTGATGATTCTGATACTTGTGCCGTTTGCTTGGAGAGGGTATGTTCAGTGGCTGCCCAAGGTTCGTATCAATATTTCCTTCAATTTGATGTTGTTCAATATATGAATTAGAGAGATTTCTATTAAATGTGGTTATAACAGCAATGTTATATAGGAGCGAACTTTGGGCCTCTAGGGACCAACCTATCCACAAGATATGTATGTATAAATGCTAGTATTAAGATGAATATGTCTCGTACAAGATTGACAAGATCAGAAAAGATTTACATTTGATAAAGATTGCTAGTAACATAGAGGATAAAATTAGAGAAGGTCGCATGAGAATTTTAGCTTGATTATACATCGACCTCCTTATATAGATCAGTAGGTGTGCTACTTCGATGATTGAATGTGGTAAAAAAAGACGAGGTAGACCTAAAATCACATGAAACGACAGAAAGTTGTCTCAAAGACCTAGAATCCTTCAAAATCAATGCAAAGCTAAGAATAATTGAGAGAACTAGGGCGCAAGACTAATTATTTAGTATTGGAATGAGATTGGTCTGAATCAAGCAGATGGATACATATAAAGAATTCATACAACCAAATCTAAACTAATTTAGAATTAAGGCATAGTTGATTGATTGATATGAACCTGACTGATGATGTAATATTCCCCTCTAATCAAAGGTTTTTATTTCATACACAATTAAGCACTAAGCAACCTTATCTATTTTTACATGAGTAGGAACTGCGTTCCTCCTTTCCTCACATAATATGTGAGGAACACTCTCAAAATTAAGCCATTATGCACACTCGACCTATCAAGTCTAGATATTGTTGTTTCACCCAAGGGTATGCAGATGAAGTTGGCATGAAAATCTTAAGGGATCAAAGTTTAAACTCCATGGAGGCAAAAAAAATGCCAGGAGATTTCTTCCCATCTACCTAAACCTTTTGTGGAGATAATTATCCAATACATGTGCTGGTGGAAGGATTCCCACTTGTGGGATTATACTGGGTGGTTGTTGTTGTTGTTGTTGTGCTGGTGGAAGGATAAAGATACCCGTTGGAATTGCCGAGGTGCTTGTAAGTTGGTCTAGAGACTGCCGTTATACACTTTAGTTGTTTTTTAAAAGGTCAAGATACAGAAGTTGTTTTAAGTTAGTTTTGTTATAGTTGACATACTCTTTCCGTCCTGTTTTATGTGAAGGAGTTTGGAATAGGAGGGTCAAAACAGCTAATTTTCAAATAAGATTTACATGTTTGAAGATAACGTGATAAGTGCTATAAGTTAGTATAGTCAACAATTCAGATTATTTTAAAAAGTTTGAAATACTCGTAGTCATAGACCAAATTGTTCGACTACCCGAATAATAATAGTATCGCACAAAACGGAGCAAAAGGAGTAATGAAAAAATGGGTACCATGCGATCTCCGCATTTATACCAATATAGCAATGTCATATTCATACCAACTGCAGTCGTGTTGTGCTGATTCCGGAAATGTGAGTTTGGAAAATTTATTTATTACGTAGGTGATATTAGATAATCGCACAGTTGTTATGTTTCTGGTATACATTGTTGGGAACTTGAGAAGATGATAACAGTTAAAATGACACTATGGACCTTTTAAAAACTAAAAGAGCTTTCTTGATTAATAAAAGAGCATTTACTTTGTTTAATATATATTGAACTTTTATTTTGTATTCGATATATTCAGGTTGTGGGCATCAATTGTGTGTAAGATGTGCACTCTATCTTTGCTCTGCAAGCAACATCCCATCTGAATTATTGGGTCCGCCTGGCTCCATCCCATGTCCACTTTGCAGACATGGCATTGTCTCATTTGTAAAACTCCCTGGATCTCCTACAAAGGAATTTAAGTTACATCTATCCCTTAGCTTATGCACACCGTGCATGCTTCATCCTTGTGAGCAAGATCGATCAACACCCTCTAGCGCACATGAAATTAGAAAGAATCGTGTTGCTTCAGTGTCTTCTGATTTTTCCTGTCCTGTGACTTGTAGCCCATTTCCTTCTGTTGCAATCCCTTTGTGTACTTGTGATGAAGGACCTTCCCCAACTTTGGAATCCAGAGAAAATGACACTCAAGATGAAACTTCTAATCAGTCACAGTCCACTTCAAATGACCAAGACAAAATGAATGTGAGATTGGAGAAAACTACCTGCTCGAACATGTTTTGGGGCCGAAGAAGTTGCAGCAGGGAGCATCAGTGTAATGCTGAGATTAATGCTTAATAGGCTTGCTTTGGCGCCCTGGGGGAGGAAATTTTGAGCCAAACAGAGAAGCACATAAAATTCAAGGCTTGACATTACTTCTTTCTTAAATGCTTTTGAATCTTTCGTGCAGCTTCTGTTTCGCTTGCTGGTTTATGAGCCAGTAGATCCAGCGCTCCAGCGTCTTGAATATCTTAAAAATGTTGCCTTGATTATTTGGAGTTGGTGCTTGTAAAGAATTCAGTAGTAGGAGATTGGAGTACTGTAATCTTGAGATTGTACTTAGGTAATTCTTTGCTGTTGTATATGTAGAGCAATTATTATCAGTCTGGTTGAAGCAGATAATTTTAACCTTAACCTGTTTGTACCAGTACCCCATCAAGTTGCAGAAGATAGTTTGAGTACTGGTGGGGTTTATGAAGGTAAACGCTAGGTTTCTGTAAACTGACAAAGACATAATGGAATAGGGGAAATTTGTATTACACATTTGCTCTGTTTGTACAACTTTTGCAAGATATTGTATATTAGGTGTGATGTCTTAGATGGAGAAACTATTTAATTGGTGTACTGATGAACTACTCTCTTATGGAGCGAATAAGAAGTGGCCAAAAGGACTAAGCTTGCCATCTCCATATTGGAAGTTGTGGTAGGAAGGACGGTAAAAGCCCAGTTAGTGTGACATCCAGTCTCGCATCGAACAAGGTCTGGACAACTTTTGACGTTACCCATTCGATGTTGTCAATGTGAAGGGATTGGCACACTTAGAAAGGATGAGATGAATTTCTCATGCCTCGAGCAAACCCAATTAGGCTTGTGGCATTTCGTGTGCTTGGAAGGTGTGGACGTCGAGAATTAGGGTTAGCAGGTGGTCCGTTCTTACCGGTAGTATTAGTAGCACTATTGTATTTTCCTACTCTTAGATCTCTTTTACTTCATGTTGTTTTGTTCCTTCAGTTATCTCATTTTCCTGTTGTTACTATTTGGTGATATTCCTTCATTTTCTTCTTCTTCTTCTTCCTCTTCTTCCTCTTATGTTTTCTCCTCTTTTTTTTCTTTTTCTTCTTTGTCGTCTTCTTCTTCTTCGTCTTCTGCTTATTCTTGAGTCGAGGTTCTTTCAGAAACAGTCTTTCTACCTTCACGAGGTAGAGGTAATTAAGGTCTGCGTATACTCTATTATTTTTGAATTCTACTTGTAGAATTATACTAGGTTTGTTGTTGTCAAATGACCACGTCCATCGGTTGTCCGACACGTATCCTAATACTATCTCTGCTCTGTCTTCTCTATAGATCTTTGAACACCCTTATCGAAACCACTCTAGAAGCTTTCTCAATACCCTTATCAAAAGTCTCACTAGTGGTTGGTTGCCTATACGATTGTGAAACTGCAATCTTAGTACAATTTGTAAGTGAGCGTCATCAACTTTCAGTATAACAATTTTTTGTACTATAACTTAGTTGTATCAGCTAATTTATTCTATTTTTAAGATTTCAAGCAAGTTTACTTTTAAATACTTTTTAGATGACCTGATAATGAAAAAAATAAATTTATCTTAATGGGGTATATATATATATATAAAACAAAAAGAGATGCAACTTTGCGGCAGATACAAAAAAGAGCAGATGAATCCAAGAAACAACTTATACATAGTAACACCATACATATATAATTGGAGATGAGCTTATAATATGCTTGACAATGACCCTTAAATCACTTAAACCAATCAGAGAGGGAAAAGTACGACGTTGTACTAATAGTAATCCGTATGCTGTCCGTACTATGGTTTATAGTGCAGAGCTTATTTAGATGAACATGTTTAAGAAAAAGTTAGCGTAGCGTTAATATAATATATCATCTTCTTCTGGCAGCAGTTTCTCTTTGGGCATTGAAGTAGACAGCAGCAACAGGGGATCCCAACCCATTTTCTGCTGCAAAACTCCTTGTATTGAATTGGTCCCTTGTTGCTGGTAGTTTCACTGTTTGCCTTCCTCTTTGTTTGTATAAAATGAATGCATAGCGATGAATCCCGATTACTGGCTTTGGACTCTCATAGCTCACTATCTCCCTTCCTGTATACAATAATATATTATGCAAATTAACAAATTTTAAGTTAATATAGTTTCCAGCCGAGACTACTTTTTACTCTCTTTTTTCTACCTATATTTATATCATTAATTAATTAGCCAAGTCATCACAGCTTCAGACTTACCAAAAGAGACGTCTGTGGTACCAGGAATATCTGTCACAATCCTGAAAATTTTTATACGAGTATAATTACCGTGAATGTCATACACATAATACAGAGTGGAACATAAGTTTGCGTTCTAATTCTTTTGCTTAATTTGAATCATCAGTTTAAGAATTACCAGTGGAGGTGTTCCCTCAAGTATGGATCACTGGGACTTGGAGCATCCGGGTCGGTCATGATCTTTCCCAAATAAAAGAATGAACAATCAGAAATGGAAAAACAGAGAGACGTACGAATACAAGTTAAAAACATAACCATTTTTTCATTTATATAACACTTTTTCCTTTCTAATCTATTTACAAATGAAAGAAACCTGTTAGTTTTAAATGACATGTTGGTATAGCCGTAGAAACGTCATAATATTGTTGAAACCACACGCAAGTTTTAATATGTATTAAAAAAAATTCATTCTTAAATTTCGTACGCAGCCATGTAAAATGAAATGACTTACAAGAGTATAAGCAGACCTCAAGTCTTCACCACCAATCTCGACACGAGGTTTAGAAGCAACGAGAGCAGGCATGAGTTCATGTCCATTGGAAACTTGCTTGCTGCCATTGTATATCACATTCATTTGCACACACGCTGTGAAACTGTCAACTACCTCCCCTATCACTCTCCCTACGGCAAGTGATTCAGAAGCCCTAGAAGACATTCTTTTTCCTATTTTACGTGGAGAGATATATATGTTGCTGGACGATTTGATAAATGTTTCAAAGGAAGAGGCTTTTATATATAGAGAAAAAAAAAAAAAAAAAAAGAAGAGGAAGGAGCTTGGTTTTAAAGTTTAAAGAATATTCGGGAAACCAATCAACGTGCCATAAAAAAAGTTGTCTACTTACGGATATTAAAAACATGCATGCTTGTTTCAACAATCACAGCACATATCTCATCACAATGGAAAGATAAACCACTTGAAAGAGCTGCGATTGCTATCATTTCCTCTATCATCGTTCGTTTTACTTTGATAAGTTATTTTAACACATCTTCTAGTGTCAAGCTTTAGTTTATTCGTTTTGAGCTCGACAATATATATATATATATATATATATATATCATCTTACAAACACGGTTTCCAAACAAGGCAGATGCATGACGGGAGAAGGGAATTCAAAAAAAAAAAAAAAAAACTAAAATGTCATAGTTGAAATTTAAAAACATGATCTAAAAAAATTTTGTATCACCTTATCTATTATGCAAGACATTTTCATTATGTTAATGATTTTCTGGCAAAGTGAATCAGTAATGGAGCAAGATCATAATTCAAAGAAATACAAGAATGCCACACGTGGAAGTTGAACCTCAGTCAAATGTACCGTAATTTTAAATCCCGTTCATCACTAAACTAGAAGTTTCTATTATGTCAAGGTGAATATTCAAAATATTAGATATGCAAAAAAAATTACTTTTATCCTATTTGTACCGTATAAGTTTTCAATAAAAAAGATTTAATTATACCATCTCCTAATAGGTAGCTTCGCTCTCGAAGGAATTCAATTAACCACCTTTAGACCAATGTGGCTCACCAGAAGCGGATTTACTTTAGGCGAAGCGGTGTCATGCAAAAAGAACAAATGATCATCATTAATCTCGACTATTTGGTCCACCGGTGAAGACGCTACATATTTGTATTTCTGTCTGGGGGTTCGAGTCCAACGAGTACATTTCTTTGAAGTTTTTAAGCTTAGCTGTTGAAATATATATAGGGATGACTCGAATCCATGCCCTTCACTAAATTAAAATTCAAAAACAATCAAACCACCAAGCCAAATCTCCTAGTAATGAATTGTAATTCCTTAACAACTTGAACAAATTTATTTATATGATATATTTGTCTTGGCACGGTATTCTCAAATTCAATTGTTCAATCTGTGACACCGCTTATAAAAGCATGTGTACGCCAGGCTTAGCCATTATGTGCAAACGGTGACAAAGGAGGGTGGTCGTGGAATTTTGTTTCCTTTGATCCCGTAACATCATATATATTCATCAAAAAGATGTACTATCCTATTTTTCATGTATTGTACTGCTTGGGTACTTCTCTATCGGACCTACACTAGCTAGAGAAACATATATTAGTTTTTAATACTAATTTGAACTTTGTATGTATAGTAGGTATTGGCATAAACCACAATGGCTTTAGTTTATTGGTTTGATAAGAATGAGGAACAAAAACTTTGTAGAGATGAAAATAATATCATGGACAAATGGGAATACAGCTTTTGATGTTCTTTGTATGTGTCGAATACACTTAAGAATAAAAAAATATCTTATCAAGTGAAGCAAAAGTACTATTCTGTCTTAACTTACTAGAGATGCGTTACTAAAAATAGTAGTAGTGATAAGGTATCTTATACAGATATTCTTGTATGGGTCAAAATCTGACCAGACACGAATTGGCGTGAGAATGGACAGAGAAAAGTTACTTGGGACTGTCATATCCATACCACACTGGAACGATACGCACCTCGGCCATGGACGAGGTCATGTATTCAGAATGCTTGAGAGGCCAATTGGATACTATGGCATTTCAAAGGGTCAGCCCGTAATATAGTCACACGACTTAAGTTCTAGGGGTAATGACAGTTGGGTAAAGGAGAAGACCTAGTATATAAACCAAGTGAGAAGAAGAAGAAGAAGAAGAAGAAGAAGAAGAAGAAGAAGGGGGCGGAGAAAATCCAGATACAGACATGTTTCCTGAGAGGAAGAGAAATCTTTATCTCTCCCTCTACCACGAAGAAGAAGGAAGCAAGGAGGCTCAGATCCTCAATATATGTTGTTTGTCTAGTCATATCCAATGTATGGGGTTCTACCTCACCAAAGATCGGTGACCCTTCTCATTTACGTTTTCATAATTGTTGTTTGATACTATGGAAATTAGCATCCTCTTCTTATATGATGGGATTCAATCACCGTTATAGTTAAATATTATGTGTGCTATGTTTGCTTACTCTCATCTTCCATCTTAGATCTAGAGTAAATTATCGTTGGTTAAGATTTACCCAAGGTCCTCTTATTTAATTAGTTTGACAAAAAGTTTAACACTTTTTGGTCAAACAATGTGGCGCCGTCTATGGGGATTTCTTAGCCAAAATTTTAGTTCCCTCTAGATCTAAAGCCAGCCAGAGTTTCGCTTCCCGGTTGCTATAGCCCCACCCTCTGTGTAAAACCAACTTGAGAAAGTTGTAGGCAAGCTTTTGAAATAACCAAACCAATCAGGGTCAGATCTTTACATGAAATCAAAATTATGTCCGGTATCTATACAAAACCCACGCCTCGCTTGTAGGGATGGGTTTGGCACGTCATATGTGTACTCAAAGTAGGATCACGGTCACTATGCACTTAGCACGTCCGCGATCCTATTTGCCCTACTAACGTTATATGCCGATCTGTACTTCCACCTCTTAGGAAGGGAAGATATCCTACTGTGTGATTCTTTGAAATAACCGGCGTATCCTGCCTTATTTTTGTACACGTATGCACTATGTAATTTATGTACAGAGTAATGTTTCCCTTATTTTTTGCGCACAACAATACGGGATCAGATCGGGACTCGAGCTCGAGATCTCAATGGGCGAAGTAAGTTCATCCCACGAGAAGTCTAGACGCGACTAACGGCGAACCCAAATGCAGGGCTACCAGATCTGGAACCGCCATTCGAGCACGGGACGAAGCAAGTCGCCCTACAGAGCCCTTGCCCCCTCGACGATTTACCAGGTCAAGGTAATAGGCAATTTCTTTTGAATCTAACTTATCATACTTTCTTTTTTGGATCGAGATAGGAACACGAGCATTCTCACAGGTGCGCGAACAAGGAACAAAAACCACCGAACACACCAGGAAAACATTCCGTACCGTATCATCTCGCAGGCGATGACCAAGTAAAACCCTCCGCGCCGTACCATATTATAAATAACAGAAACGGCTCAGGACGGGCTGACATTATCAAGAAATAATATCCATAGCCTGGGACTGAGCAATAAGTCCATTGAACGTATGGTCTCTCCAACACAGGCAGATCACAGACTCGAAAAGCTTGCACGTATGCTCGCCACGACAATCCTACGCCAATTCAGTCGACTAAATATTACGAGTCACATCCGGACGTCGTTTGAATTGATGAAGTCCCAGGATGCCCAGTAACCCAAGCAATAAGTTCATCGTCCGTCCCGTCAACGGCCTCCCCAAGCCGAGCAATAAAGGGACCAGATAAAACTGGGACTCCATCGACGCATACAAACTATGCAACGACGCACAGTACTCTCCAATGAAAGCAAAATTAAGCAAACCGCGACACACCCCGACACACAATACTCTCCAATGAAAGCAAAACTAAACAAACCGGGACTCACCCCGACGCACGCATAAACAATGCAGCAACGAGTAATGTTCTCCAATAAAAGTAACGCAATAGGCAAATCTCACCATCCCTCCAAACCTGCACATCGTCAAGTGAAAGGAAAGTTTGACTTTCGCTCAAACTCATAACAGGGCACAATTCGACCTCGCTCGAATTCACACCTTTACGGCCCCCGACCATCGCCAAATGAAAAGTGAAATTCGACCTCGTTCGAATTCATAACGGGTTATAACTCGACTTCTCTCGAATTCACACCTTTACGGCCCCCGCCCGTCGCCAAGTGAAAAGTGAAATTCGACCTCGTTCGAATTCTTAACGGGTCACAATTCGACCTCGCTCGAATTCACACCTTTACGGCCCCCGGCCGTCGCCAAGTGAAAAGTGAAATTCGACCTCGTTCAAATTTATAACTGGTCACAATTTGACCTCGCTCGAATTAATGCCCCTACAGCCCCTGGCCATCGCCAAGTGGAAGTAGTATACGAATTTACAAGTCAAAACTGACTTCGCCCAAGTTGGCAAGTTAGACTTCAACCTCGCCCGAATTAACGCCCCTACGGCCCCTGGCCATCGCCAAGAGGAAGTAATATACGAATTTTACAAGTAAAAACTGACTTCGCCCAAGTTAGCAAGTCAGACTTCGACCTCGCTCGAATTTATAAGTCAAAACTGACCTCGCCCAAGTTGGCAAGTCTGACTCCAATCTCGCTTGAATCAAGCGAAATTGGTAGAAAACCACAAACAATGGCACGAGAAGCTACCCTTCGCTTTGTTGGGATACCGCACTACAGTTCGCACATCAACCGGGGCAACTCCCTACATGTTGGTTTATGGTACCGAGGCTATCATCCCAGCGAGGTAGAGATTCCTTCTTTAAGAATCATACAGGAAGCTGAACTCAGCGATGCAGAATGGATTAGGAGTCGCTACGAACAATTGGCCCTTACCGATGGAAAGAGGATGAACGCAGTGTGTCACGGTCAGCTTTACTAGAACAGAATGTCCAGAGCTTTCAACAAAAGGGTCAAACCAAGACAGTTCGCCCCAGGACAGCTGGTGCTTAAAAAGATCTTCCCACATCAAGGTGAAGCCAAAGGGAAATTCTCTCCAACCTGGCAAGGTCCTTATATGGTTCACAGGGTGCTGACAGGAGGAGCACTCATACTTGCAGAGATGGATGGAGAAATCTGGCCAAAATCAACCAATTCAGACGCAGTCAAGAGATACTATGCTTAGATTATTTACATTTCCTCATCTGATGTAATTGAACTACGTTGACCTGATTTCCGTTTAAGAGGGGATACGTAGGCAGCCTTATGGGTTCGGTAATATCATAATAAAATTTTCATTCCCCCCCCCCCCA